ACATTATGCTCTCGCAATGAATGTAAACATCTCCAGATGGATCTACCGCAGCTCCACATCAACATAGTTTTTCTATTCCAGATGCGAAAAAGCTCAAATATGAGTACTGAATACCTTGTTCGACAGAGGGAGGATGAGTGTCCATCAGTAACATAAAATGCACGTGATTGTGCTTCAGTTTCTTCATATACTGATTTACATTTACATGAGGTGACCTATGGCTATCAAATCGAGTTGAAACGTTCTGAACGTCCCCACGCAGATTGCTCAGTACCTAAATTTGTCTGAAGATTAGCCATGGGAACGCAGACCGGATCGCTAGTAATTTGCAAACGTGACAAAATGTTTAGACATATGCCTTACTGCGGTTGTCTTGTACAATTTAGAAACTATAACAACACATTAATGGGATCTTACACACAAGAGCCGGTGTCTGTGGATCTGTGGTTAAGTCGTTTTGATGATGACTACGATAGGGGTTGCCGCCGCTCGATCATACTCATACGGTGCCGTACTGTTAGCCTTCACTGAATAGCACTGTTAATCTTTCTAATGCTACGTCAGAGATGTATGTTGATACACTTGAGAAATGTGGGCTCCGGTCTTCGGGATGCTCTTCGCCCAAATGTCCACTGAAATTGAGATCCAAATAAGTGAAAAGGCGACACGTTCCTCACAAACGCTCAAAAATTTGCACCTCGAACCTAGCCTTTGCATGTGTTGCTAAGAAACACAGTTAATTGATGGGAATTCATTTCCCTTTTTGGAAACACCCCTTGGGGATTTGACTCGGCTTCATGAACTCCAACGCACCACTTGGAAATCACTTTTGATCAATCAACACAGGATCAAATGGGTATATTCCAAAGGTAGAAATACCCCAAGGAAGAGGTTCAGCCTGGCGAGGCCCTTAACACTAGAACGCCCGGGCGGTCATTTTGACCGCTCAGCGTTTTTAAATGTGCATATTTTCTACATTTATGGACATTTTTCAAAGATATTTTGTGACTTTTAATATTTTTGGACGTTCTTTATTACTGGGAATTTTCGTTTTCATATCTGTTATAGTTTTCGAGAAAAGAGGTAGCTGTGTTCATACTACCTAGAAAGCCCGTTAGCGGTCAAAATGACTGCTTCTCTCTAATCCGGTTCCTCTTTTTATTTTTAGCCACCACTATCATTTCTGACAGTTATATACTATAGCAGTCAAAACGGGAGTGAAAACTAGCCGAATCACGATTTTACTGTGATATTGTGCGTTCAGTCAGATAAATTCCAGTGGCATTTTTGTACACAATGGCACTTCTGAGGAAAACAGCCTTTGAGGTTTTACGAGAACTTACAACCATCGATGACAACGAGTCTGGAGACGAGAACCATTATGATGTTGATGAGGACTCCATCTTCCATGAGTCAGCAGAAGATCACACCATGTCTGATAGTCAAACGTCTGATGATTACACTCCATATGAGGACGCTAGAGAGAGTGTATCAACAGATTCGGTATCTCCCGGTGAACTTCACGTATCGAAAGATGGTAGCACGTGGATCGCAGTGGAGTTCAAAACATCTACTGTTGGTAGGATTCCATCACAGAAGGTGTTTAAGGCTAGACCAGGACCAACTCCCTATGCTAAGAAATGTGTGAAATATGGTGAGCTGTCGAGCACTTTTGACATCATAATCACGCCCCAGATGCTGAAACATATTCAAGTATGTACTGAAGCTGAGGCCAAGAGAGTTTTAGGTGTCAGTTGTCAGTGGAGCGTAAGTCTTCCAGAGCTGCGTGTCTTTATTGGTCTACTTTACATCAGAGACTTCATGGGTCTGAAGAACATGCCGTTGAATATGATGTGGTGCGATAGATATGGACTGTCTATTTTCAGGGAGACAACTGGCAAGAAGAGCTTCAAAGAAATAATGAGGTTCCTCCGTTTTGACATGTGAACTACCAGATGTGAAAGACTGCTAGCTGATAAGTTTGCTTTGGTATCTGAATTGTGGAATGCATTCATTCGCAACTCTCAACAATGTTATGTGCCTGCGCAGAATCTCACAGTTGATGAGCAATTGTTTCCCTCCAAAACCCGTCGTCGTTTTCTCCAGTACATGCCCAACAAACCAGATAAGTTCGGTATCAAGTTTTGGATGCTGGCAGAAGTAGACAGCAAGTATCTCGTTAAGGGATTTCCATATCTCGGAAAGGACGAAACTCGGTCAAGAGGAGAAAGCCTTGCAGAGAGCGTGGTATTGCGCTTGGTGTCACCATTATTTGGAAAGGGGTACAATGTCACATGTGACAACTTCTTTACATCGGCAGCATTAGGAGAAATGCTGGCCAAGAAAAACACAAGTATGGTGGGAACACTTCGAGCTAATAGAAAGGAAGTACCATCGATTTTAAAGCAAAGAAATAGAGAGCTGTTCAGTTCACTTATGATGAGGAATGAAAATAAACACACATTAACATCCTACCAGTGTAGAAGGAATAAGAGTGTTTTGGTTTTCAGTTCCCTGCATAGTAACTCTTCTGTTCAAGACTCCGGAAAGAAGAAACCCGAGACTGTGTTGTTTTACAACTCCACAAAGTATGGTGTGGATGTACTCGACCAAATGACAAGAGCACTCACTGTGAAGTCATCATCTCGACGATGGCCAGTCCAAGTCTTTTTCAACGTACTGGATTTGGCTGGCATAAATTCCTGGATAATTTATAACAGTGTTTGCGGAACTAAAATATCTCGCCGGTCGTATCTGGTGGGTCTTTCGGAAGAACTGCTTACATGTATGCATCACACAAGGTACGTGACAACGGGAATTACGACAAACAACTCAGCGGAGTCAGGAAGTCGTGTGAATATTAAACGTCGGCAGTGTCAGATTGGTTACTGTAAAGGTAACAAATCACGAAACAAGTGCTCAGTTTGTGAAAAAATAGTTTGCGGCTCATGTGGACAGATTGAGCGAGTTATCACTTGTTTCAAGTGCAAATTGGAGTAGGTATACGGAATTGTTTACAACTTTTGAAAAAAACTAAATACAATCATTTTTCTGTTACAGGTATGTTCTATACATTAGTTTTTAATAAATGCCGTGAAAAAATTCTTAACTGAAAGTTGGGATAAAAAAATATAGCAGTGCGGTCATTTTGACCGGTCCCGGGCGTTCTAGGTATAACGGCGGAGCGGTCTTTCTAGTGTTAAACCTGTCGCTAACTTTTCGTCGAGGTTCAAGCTTACGCTATGTACTGTGAATGTAGCAGTACTGAAAGAGCAGTTTGATAACTTTGATCAAACTATTTCCAAAATCAATGAGAACGTCTTATTGTGCCCAGTTTCTGAATATAAAACCGAGATTATGCACGCGATTCATTGCTTTCGGTCACGAAATTTTAGGCTAACTGAAACAAATTGTAAGGAAAATTTTTACCAAAACTGTTAGGTCGAATAAATACAAATCCCAAGGATTCTGTTCTGTAATGTGCAATCTTTGGTCGACAATACGCGTCCGCTTACTCGAATAGCAGTGCATAATTGTTTACCCATTTGTAAACTCTGGTAGTTTCGATGAGGTCATTTTAGTCAATCTGCAGTGGATAAGGTAAAATGTTGAAAATGCACCCATTCGAATACACAAAGCTTAAATTCATTTGAGTTACTTAATAATACTGTGCCAGCTTTACGCCGTAACGGCGTTTCGCTGCCGCGCGACCACCACCAGTCGCGCGCGGACGTCCACCCCTATGCGGATCCGAACTGGTGACCTTATGGTTGCAAAGCAAACGCGCAGACCACTCGGCCACCTGCCGGCAGCGAAGTGCCGTTACGGTGTACAGATGACACATTATTATTTAATTGAGTTATTCACCAGCATATGACCGGACAGGCTGATAACCGCCTATCTACGACATTTAAAGCGCACATAATCTCTGTGTGTAAGCCATGTCTGGATAATTCTGTAATTAACTGGTTATGCCTATTCAGGTGTAGTCCGTGACAATTGGGAAAACAGACTGTTTATTCAAACGATCAAATGAGCCTAAATAAAGCACCGATGGAGCTCTCTAATGGGAAGCACAGCCCTGAGAGTATCGCTCTCTGGAAGACCGATATCACCGAGGGATGTTCAAAATCCTCTGCAACACTTTAACGCAGCTCATCAATCATCCGACGCCAAAAGAATCGCGCACCTATTGGATGACATTTCGATCAACCGACGGAATGATAAGAAAAGGCGGCTAGTTTACGCTTTGCTTTCAGTCAATAACAGCTGAATATGTAATTCTATTCAGCGCTTCGCTTCGTCAGAGACATGTAAGGGTTGTGTGTGGCAAATTAAGTGGGGTTGGTAACAACGTGTATAAAAAAAACCATAAACGAAGCGGAGAAGTGACTTCCACGTGTACAATAAGAGTCTGATTTCTTAGGTGGCAAATTACAATAGAAAAGAAAATGGAGATTTTAAACTTGTTCATTAAACTTCCATTTTTCTGAAGATGTTGCATCTGGATAGCAGAGGGAAAATGAAGGGGGAAAGAAATCACAAGATTTTGTAGGGGTGGGGAGAGAAAACACAGCGGAAAGGAGATATAGGATTACAACCGTCCTTCGTAAAAAGAAGAAATGTACACAAACTGTCGGCAATCAACGCACAATTGTAATGGGAGGTAGAGGTCGCATAACGAATCGCGCGTGAATCAAAACACGGAGAGCGAGTGATTCTCAAAAAATGATCGGTTAGAATGGAGAGGCGGGGGGAACCCGCCGAGCATTGTTTCCTAGCTTGTCATTAGAGTACAGTTGTAAACACATAAAGAGCGGAGGAGTTATACTGGTTCTGAACAAGATTGTAACTCAGAAAAAAACTGGAAAGGATGGCGCGTGGAATAGCGTGTGAGATGGATGTGCGAGGATAGTGGGGGGGGGGGTGGTCGGTTCGGTTTGCTTGAAACAGCAAATCGCAGATGGGAGGTTGAAAATTATGCGGATACCCATGAGCTGTTACTTGTTGATTAACTCGCTGCTAGATTCTAGTCTTAAATCGGCTAGAAGAGAAGAAAAATCGGATAGGCGCTGATACTCCTCGTCCTCATCGTGTGCGTCGGTCTTAGGCACCGATGCGGCCTCAGGAGCACGGTGGACACTCACTGAACCGCATGGAAAAGCGTTTCTTACATCCGCATTCTGCTCTTCCCCAACGGACGTTTGGGCAGGACACCCTGTGGGTACGACAACATCGGTGATGTTTGACGGTGGAGTGACCTTATCACCACTGCCGAGAGAATTGGAACGCCATTGGTTGACCTGACGATGTGTAGCTCCCGCCCCAGCGTATGCGGGGAACGAATTGGAACGGGTTTGGTCTCCACTGGTGAGAATGCAGTGGCAACCGGGGTGGGAATCGCACGAGTCATGCGAAGTCGTTGATTGTGGGGGGTTAGACATAGATGTGGGTTCCGCGAAGCGAGAAGGCAATGAAATCTCGAGGTTGGGTTGCCCGACATTTGACAAGTGCTTGCCATGAACATCCACCTTATTGTCCACTGGGCAAGACCCATTCATATCGGATTTTCGGTAGCGTATCACAAAGGGGCGTTCGTCAGCTTGTGTAAACACAGGATTGGATGTGCATGTGGACAGCCGTAGCGGACATGGGAGCATTTCTGGAATCACAGTCAAATGAGTGATGAGAGCGTGAAGCGATGGCCATTCCTTATCCAAGCCCTAGGAGAAAATAAAAAAATTGGATAAACATCGATACATGTGAAGCGGTTGGTTGCCAAAGTAAAGTGGAAGATGAATATAGGGTGTTATTTTCCTCGAAAACACTGCACTCCAAGACAAGTTACGTGTAACGTCCATTTTGTCAACAGCCATCACCCTTCGCCTAGACCCACATTATTGCCCTAATTCCCCTTGAATTCACTGTTTGAACGTTCCACGTATACCGCCCTGCATGACCCTTAGTCGTTTGTTTTCCATGCCCACCTTGCATTGGTGACACCACCTGTCTCGCTACTTTCTTTGATGCATGCTCCATTTTATCGATCACTGCTTCGCACTTGTTCCATTTGCGTGTTACTATTGAGGTCAGGGTAGACCGGAGATTTTGTGGGGTGGACACACCACCCATCCGGCTGACATGTGCCCCTAACCTCAGGTCTTCATAATGTGTCCCCCATTGAACCTGCTTGATGTGATTGGACTAGTGGCTGTTGGTTTCTTGATTGGCTCACTGGTGCATGTCTCGCATGTCATGTAACCGCGCTGGGTCATTTTGCTGACTGAACGACCGTATTGATGTCCTGTTCTTGTAACGGCCAACTGATTGTACTTGTATTTGTTTGAGGACATTGTTGAAGTATGTTGTCACTTTGATCTTTTACTCTTTGTATAATGGCATCGTAGTTCAGCATCGACTGTGGCTTTTTTGTTTCTCCGGTGCCTACACACCAACTCCGATCCTTGTCGCTCATTGATCCCCTGTCGGAGGCCGCGAATCGGTGCCCTACGCGTTGTCCAACTATCCTAAGCGATTTTTGAAGCTTACATTACGAACTGGTTTTACTTCACCCGGTAAAGATAGCAGGCATCGGACCCGAGCATTTGAGGTGTTAGCCGAAACCCTGACTCCTTTGGCTACTGAGTCACAAGCAGTAACGTTTGTCACAATGTTTATTGACCGATTGGACGGTCATTTTGAAGCCCTCGTAATGTGTGAATAGATTGCGACGCGCAATCGCAATGTGGACCGTGGTTTCGCATTGAAGTGAGCCTTGGTCAATTCGATAGCCGGGGTAGTTAACTGGGTGTTACCCACTCGAAAACACTGCACGTTCATTATCTCAAAGACTCACTGAGCATCTGTGTGACTAGTCCATGGTAGATAACCAGGGGATCTGCAATCAGATTTGAAAGAAATGAGAATATGAGTAGCTCGGGATGTGGATGCGGATTTTGAGCTGTTCTCCGAGAGCATCCCAATGGGATCGCCAATCTCTGGTCTGGTAGCCGAGGCAGTGATGCAGGCGCTGGAACAAATAGCATTTCCGATCGCGAGACCAAAATTTTGGGTACCATACGTAGACGACACATTCGATATCCTCAAGCGTTCCAAATTGGAGGTAACACACAAACTAATCAATAGTGTGTTCAATGGCATCCAATTCATCAAGGAGGAGGAGAACAACGAGAAGATACTGCTCTTAGACGTTCTCATACGACGAACTGGTACTGAACGATTGGAAACAACAGTCTACCGAAAATCAACGCATACGGATCAGATCCTCAACTACGGCAGCCCACAAACACAGCTGCGTGTGAAGGGTTTTCGAACGAGCACAAACCCATTGTAGCTCGCCGCAGTTGAGAGGGGCAGAGGAAGACCATCTCTTCAATCTGCTCAAGATCTAAGCTGCCTCGCATCACAAAAGGCTGCTCATGACACTGCGACAAATGCAACAGTTGAAAAGAGAACAACTCTGCCCTAAATCAACGGAATCTCTGAAATGGCAGCCAGTGAATGCATTGCAGAATGGTCGACTGCTGTGGACCAATCGGGGGAACCGCGAAGATGGATAATTCAACGTGTTGTGTTGAACAACACGGTGTATAGTCGGTTCGCGTCCGAATAACTGTTCTGCCCGCCTGGTGAAACAGTTCCAATGCCTGTAAAGGGTTTCGGTGTGGCTCTCTCCCATCCCTGCACTCCACGACCGACGGTTTCGTCTTGGTTTAGACTCATCAGGTAGAGATAGCCGAGCTGGAAGTGGAACTCGGCGCATAGCGCTTGGCGGCCATCGCCATGATTACTAGGCGATTGAGCTCCACGAGCAGTGTTTGACACAGCGGTTAGAAGTAGATTTTCGGGTTTTTGGAGCACCCGCCGTGTGTCTTGGATTGCGACGCGCAATCTTACTCGAGGTATCGGTTGACTTTGAAGTCAGCCTCTGCCAATACGGTCGCTGGGACCGTTACCGAAGTGGAGGGTTTCGGTGTGGCTCTTTCCCATCCCTGTGCTCCACGACTGATGAATTCGTCCTGGTTTGGACTCATCAGGTAAAGGCAGATAGAGATAAGTCTAAAATAGGACGAAGCCGTCGGTCGTGGAGTGCAGAGATAGGAGAGAGCCACAGGGAAACACTCCACTGCTTAGCTATTTGTTTCCACTGGGCACATAGCAATAATTGCTCAAAGGAGTAATCAAGAACGTCATTGAAACCATGTGAGGATGTTCAGACAAACCTCACAAATGAACAGTTTCCGAAACACCGCTCAGCACGGAGACAATCGACGGATGGTGTGAAGGAAGCGGCGTAGAAACAAGGAATCAGCATCTAATAAAGAGATGCTGACATGCTTACGGGTTGATTGAGACACCCGTTATGTGACTGGATTGCGACATGCGACCACTGTCTGGATCACGGTTTAAGTTGACCTGAACCCCAGTCACTTCGGGCACTGAGACTGCATATGGAGCTGATAAAAATGTGGTGACGTCCGCTCCCCGAACACTGCTCAGTGTAGAGGAGGAGAGCTGAAGTAGCGTAGGAAGCACCTACGGCGCGATTAAATTCAGAATCCACAAACAACCGATTTTGATGGCTACACAATATGGTGCGCTGGCTGTGCACACAGTCACGTGACAATCGCCAGCCTCGAACAAATTATCGAAGCGCACCAGTCACATTACGATTATCTGTGTCTGACGATGATATGCATAAGGCGGTGGTTCAAAGCCAAGTGCACTTGTCATACGTTTGTGCATGGTTCATACCGGACAAGTATGCAAGACTGTCTAAATGCGAACCAAATGTCAGGCGTAAACCGATGCAAAAGCACACAGGTATATAGATCGGAGAGGAGTCCCTCATACGACAAATTATCCTGCGTTTGCCAAGCACTGCTAGAGATGGTCTGCACGCAAACTGCAAACAAACTGGAGCGATTCAAACCATAATAAGCAGAAGCGAATACCAAGAGGCTTGTAAGAGATTTAACGCACTATTGTAGGATAAGCCTAAAAGTTACGGTGTAGAACGTTGATATCATCTGGTGCTTAGGGGAGGGAGCACCAATAAACCACATCGACTTGTGCTATGCTCTGTTCCATTCCGATTCATCACAGACAAACATGCGAAACGTATCCCGTTAACAGTTATGCAAGCAAACAACTCAGGCAAAGCTTGCTACGGGGTTTTAGAGTGTCTATTGTGCGTCAAGATTGCGACATGAGATCTTCATGGAAATCACAGTTTACTGGGAGATGAATCTCGTTCATCCCAATCGTTGGGGCGATGTTCGAAGTGGAATGGTTTCGGTGTTGCTCGTTCTTAACAACAATTAAGTCGGTCGGATATTCGGATCGTCGTGAGGTGTAACCATACAAGAGCAACTCTTAGTCGGCGATAAGTGCTACCCTTCTCGTCAATGCGATGAGCCTATTCAACACCTCAGAACCCGCCACGGGTGTGATGAATCGATAAGACACCTGGACTTCTCAGTTTGAGATGATCAGCATGGTCACGTGGGACACTTGAAACATGATGGACCATCTTAGAATTGTTTTCCGGAAATTACTGATGACGAACAGTTGGGTAAGGAAAACAAAACAAACTTTGGGAAGCTATAGAAATATTCAAACGGCTGTTACCAATGATAGAGGTTAGAAAAAAGAGACACACAAAGATTTAATGCAAAGAAGCTGTGAATGACAATATACAAACTATGCGGAAAAGAACTTCAGTGAATGAAATGAGAACAAGGTTTGTTTACCTTGAGCCGAACGCCGCAAGGAGTATGCTGAATGAGATAATGTGTGATACCGGAGGAGTTGTCTTGAGTGGGAACTCGCACAGACAAAGCACAACAGTCCGGATGGGTTGCACTATTCCGGACGAGGAAACTACCCACCTGCAAGTGATCAGAAAAGGCAAACAAATAGATTTGATCAAATTTTAGCGGGCGAATAAAGGGTTATATGTGAAAACACGCGAAGGGTTCAAGAACAGATGTCTGCAGTGAACGCGTCGCTTCAGCGGAGACAAAGGTTTCGGTAGGAACATACCTATTTATGGGGTGCAAATGGCGTTATGGAGTTGCATAGATGCAATGAGCCACGAACCACTGGGGCGTTCATGACATAAATTTAAAAAGCAAATACAAATGGAGAGAACCAGAAACGAAGACGGAGAAGCTCAGTGAGCAAAGTTCAAGAAAAACGAAACCAACGGAGAAAAGCAGTCGAAATTATGAGGCATAAGGATGTCCAGGTTTCAAGTACACACGATGTAATGAAGTTCATACCACAGCATGGAAGAGACAAAGCACAGAAACACTGAATGCAGTCTAAGCCATTTCAGTGATGATGGATGGAGTCACTAAGTTCTAATGAATGAAATACTGGGGTAAGTGCAGAGACACTGCATTCGGAAGGAATGAAAACTAGACACTAGAAAGTAGGAATGAAGTTAATATGTCATGAAAAATCATGGGAAACCGGTGTATCCACTAGAATTAATAGGGACAATATCGAAAGTGTCGCTTGAAGATAGAGCAACGGACGGTTAAAATGGCAACAGCTCGGAATGTAAGTTGTCTATGAGCGAAAAATCATCAACTCAATCGAATAACCGCAATGGAAGTGGATGCTGTGGTGATAGCTGGTTGTTTGTACGAAGCTGACCGACGGGTTGTAGGCAGGCAGGCAGGCAGGCAGGAGGCAAATCAGCTGTTGCCGACGCAAAAACGGATTATGCGTGGACGAGGATGAGGTTGGAATCAGGATCGGCTATGCTTAGAAGGAACAAAGCACAGCTTTGTCACGAACAACGGCGAAGCAGATTGGCTGGAACAGTCGGGAGCGGAAGAAGCGTGTGCTTTGGTCAGAGAGACAGAAAAGCTAACGCGCTCAACGCAGACGGAGAAGAAGCCGATTGAAGCGAAAAGAAAGTACGGATCAAGTAGCACAAACAGACGTTAAAATTGGAAAGTAAACAATGTGAAGACATCTTGGTCAAATAGCACCCCACGGTTACCAACGGCACAAACGACGATTTGCTTTAAAAAATCTATTTTTATCGTTGCCTAGACTTTTAGAGAGCTACAAGACAGGTGCCTGTTGAACAGATCGGTCAATAGATGAATATTGGGTCTTGTCAGTTTGCAACATGGACCTCTACGACCGGTGTAGCCCCCATTTGCTACAAAATAACCCCCCTAATCAGATGGGATGATGGTCGACGAGTTGAGACATGGATCGTTAAGAGGAGGGTCTAAGCTGAAAAAGTCAAAAATTGTGTGCTTTTCAAAGCTCGATATATATGTCTAGATATAGTCGGATCTTCATGAAATGTTGCAGGGATTATCATTATTTATCATGCAAATAATATATCATAGAGAAATAAAGATGTGCGTTTATCATATTTTTATTCACATTTTAGTAAGGTACCTAAATTAGTGATGCCGAATTGGTTGCTGTGGCGTTCTGGGTCCCGTCAAAAAAGTGTTCTATGTATAGAGCTAAAATTTTGTGCAGTTATTTAGATATAGTTCAGCTTTAGAATAAACTATACTCAACTCTGTATCTGAATTAGATCTTCCAATACTGATGTTCAGATTTGCACAAAAATCTGAACTGAGGTTAAAAGTTGACCACAAGTGTGGGACACTTAAAATTAGTTTATTCCATGTAGAAACTAAAGAAGAGCATCTCCTCCAAATTTTATTGACTTTGGACCATTAGTTTTGAAATTATCTTAAGAACGCTGACGTAAGAGTGAAAAAACGCAGTTTGAGAAAAATGGCTTTAAAGTTGAAGTACATGAAAAAATGAAAGTCATTTATACTTTTCTGGCATATCGGTCATTTATACAAATTTTGGTGATGTCCCATGATATGATTCACGTAGAAAAACTAATCTGGACTACACATGGGCACCAGCAAGATAGAACTCTTCGATGTCTTCACACTCCCTTGAAGACGCTACTTTCCGTGCTCGTCGTTCAGCTGGCAGAAGTCCGACAGTTGCTGCATGAATTCTTGTTTTGTCTAATTCATTACAACACAGTCTGGTATACAATCCAATCACAAATATAGGCAGCCTACCCCTCTCTCCATCAATGAAAACCACTGCAGCATCAGCAACTGCAAGAATAAGCCTTTGCCTTCCAACAAAACTAGCCTTTGGACACCTTTGCCAAATTAAATTGTGAAAACTTTCATTTGTATTTTGTGTTCCTCCATGGGCACACTTTGACAGTAATGTCTCACTGGCAAGAGTTTCAAAAACAGGCCTGATAGCCTTGTACAATATCATTACTGTCATCAATTCCAGCAGCTTGTTCTTGCTTCTTAGGGTAGCGATTGCCACAAAATCTACGTTTCCTTTGTGTATAAGCTGCCTTTTCTTTTCGTTTTCCCATAATTAGCGAAGATGTGCTCACAAAATCGTCACATACACAAGTGCTGTGTTTTGAAAAATCCAAGATGGCGGCTTACTAGCAACCGATTAGACGAGCTCGCTGATTGGTTCAAATGGCTCTTCTCTCACGTTAAGAACCAATGAAAATGGTTCTTTTAAACTGAATGTTTATGCGGAATTACCAGATAGGCCTTGCAAAGCCGAATCGAATGCAACTTGAATGAAGTTACTAGGACGTCTACAAGCCGAGATGCAACATTTTAAAATTTACGCATATATAATGGGCTTGAATACATGGAAAAACAAGTCACACATGCTTCACAAAATGCTAAAATACTGCATTACAAAAGATGCTAACAGAAAAATGGTTCGCAGGTTTATATTCTAGGATGATTGCAGTTGACATTTATATGGTTTTCCAAAATGGTCAAAAATTACGATTTTTCAGCTTAGACCCTCCCCTTAAAGGACCATTGATGAGTATCCATAACAAAGTGCCCACACAACTATGTGGTTTATCACATCTGTTCATGCGCACCAGTCAGGTCACTTTGAATGGTGACGGAACGTTTTGGAACAAAATTGCCAAAACTCGGGGAACGGTTAGACTGATTAGTTTCCAATTCACACACGGGACAAACCAGAGGATGGAAATAAAAGCAAAAGTGGATAAGATGGAATTTCAGTCCAGAGAAGAAGTGGAGTAACCCAAAACAAACTGGATCATCCGGCTTGTGTCAAAGTGACAAGACGTATTCAATAAGGCCATTCAGGTCAGCCACGAGAATGGAATGACACAAAAAAACCATGAATTTAAAAACGATGAAAGTAGAGAGAGCGGATAAAAACTGAGACGGTTAAATGAATTGATTTCCTGAGGAATGATCCACATCCATCTGTATGTGCGTAGAGCAAACGTGATTACGTCAGTTACCAAGAAAAATGACGGTCTTAAGAATGAGAGTAAAGGAGCGAATATCCCCGTTGCATTGAATTCTTTAAAAATACGGGTAATTGGATGGGTGCGAAGATGCTGATTGATTACCAGCCCGTTACTACACAGATTGACCATACGATGGTATTTTAACAGGTTACACTACACTGAAACAGATGAAATTTTCGGCAAAGTTTACAAAAGGCGAGGGAATCTAGCGGAAATCTGTGGTGGATACACGTGCATAGAGACGTACGGCTTACGGAATGAGGAGATCCCGCGTATGCATCAGGGCACCGCGAACACATGCGCGTGGAATGGGTGATGACACACTGTGCCCAAGTCGAGTGGTTTAGTTATCTGTTTAGGCGTATTTAGGAATGACGGTGATCAGTGAAGTTATGACTTAATAATAGTCATTTGAAGGCCCCATCCTAAGGTATGGTACACCGAATGTTCTGGGGTTAATGGACTTTAGAGTGTGGGACGGTCACGGGTCTCGGAAGGACAATAGGGAAGCCCAGCTGACAGAAGATACCGCAGAGCAGCTTCCGATTCCCGTAGTCGCAGCAACTGAGATGGTTAGGCCACGACTTGCACGTAACTTGTTAGCGTTTATCACGTCGCAGTCTATTTCTACACGTAGGGTAATACTGGAAGAGGTCACATGGCCAATTGTCGATAAATCATTAAACCATTGAAATCTTGCCTAGCCGTCGCGGGCCCTATACGTCTTCCCGGTTAGAGACCTCAAAATGAAGCGTGTCAGAGGATTACAACGCTCGGAGCAAAGGTGCTAAATCTGCTATAGTGGAAACAATGTGCGTATGTTTGCATAAATTTGAAAAGAACAAACTCGAAAAAAGCAAAGAAGTGCAAAACAGTGTGAAGGACAAAAAGTAGTGAGGTACCTTATTTCTGCGCACTAAGAATCCTCTTTTCAGAGTACTAATGTTTTTGATTCACAATCGTATTGATTTCAATGGCTGGAAATATATCCCTGTAGACAGCTTATATATATATATATATATATATATATATATATATATATATAGCAGGAGAGTTCATAGGTTGCTGAGGCTTGTGGTGGCTAGATCCCAAAACCTTGTTGACCCGCTGCTGCTAATGTTGTGCCGTGAGCGCATGTCCGGGATACCTCCTCGGGGGTAGGAGTTGGGTTAAACCCTCTTCTAGCTAAGCGCCAGAACACACAAATCCGCGTGAGTCGATTCACCGACTCATGGCATACAGCCCGCTGCGTTTCGGGTGTATATTTAATCAAAGGCTTTGGCTGTAGACCAGTCTTTCTCTTGTCAAGTGTGGACGCCCTGGCAGTAGCCTAGTCCAAGCCTCAAATATGTATCACGCCAATAATAATAAATCTATGCTGCATCGACCGTCGCGCAGTGGCACTAGGAAAAGTGTCGCCTTATCTGCTGCATACAACAGGGCGGATAAGCGAAAACATGCCACTGCTAGCGCCTACCTCCTTTCTTCTTCCGCTGCAGACAATCTCCCCGTCCCTGTTTCACCTTGCGCACAGCCTCCTACAATCCA